CTACGACTTTAAGTCTGTATGATTTCTACAGGCAGGTTTACCAGAATAGTAGATTCAAAGCCTGAAAATATGGCTTTTAGTTTCAGTGGCCACCCCAAGATTTTTGGTGGGCCCACCAGGACTGGTCCCTGGCCCCTATAGAACCGCCCTTGAACCATCCTGATTAAATCAATGTGCAACATAAAAAAAAAAAATCATGCTTTTGTTTTTCTTTTGCTCAGATTTTGGGAAACACAGAAAAATTTTGAAAATATTAACCTAACGGCAGAAAAATATTAAAGTACAGTTCAGATTTATTTACTTTGTTTTATAACTTGCATTTCAGAGCAATTAGCAGCTGCTTCGCTAAAAGACATTAGAATTAGAATAGATTTAATAGTAATAATAATAGAATAATAATTGTGAATTTTCTGTTATTTTCAGGCGAACAATGAGAGAAAATGTGACAGTAGGTGTAATAAAGGCAGCGCCTACCTCCCGTTTGACGCTCCATAATAATTTCTCCTTCTGTTCTTCCTCCATGTCCGTCAGTCTGTCCGCTGCAGCTCCGCTCCGGTCCGGTCCGGTCCGCTCGGTCCAGAACCTCTTCCCTTTGTATTACCTGTTTCCTTCTTCTCCTGCTCAGCTGGACTCTGACGCAGCCGAGCTGCTTGAAGGTGACGTCAGAGGATCCGCCTTCCTCACCCAACTGATCAATGGAGGAAGAGGAAGGAGAGGCGCGAGCGCCTCCCCGACCTGCAGCGCAGCGACCTGTAGAAGCTCCGAGTTATTTATAGCAGCTTCTTCCCTCCTTCTCCATCAGCAGAGCAGCAGAATCATCCTCCTCTGAGAGAGGATGGAGGAGCCGGAGGACAGCCGGCTGGGTTCGGGTTCGGGTTCTGGTTCTGGTTCTGGTTCACCCCCCTATCAGAACCAGAACATCGAGCTTTAGCTGATCTACCTGCCTTCCTCACAGTAGATCTGATCCTGGGTCAGATCTGAGGCAGGCTGGCCCGCTGCAAGATAGGTGACATCACAGCGACATGATGAAGAAACATCCTCATCCTCTGGAGGAGAGACGGAAACCGCTGCTGGCGCCCCCAAGTGGGCTGAATTTGCACTGCAACCA